GAGAGAGAGAGAGAGAGAGAATTGTAACGCGACATCCGACAAGGCCACTAGTGTTTGCCCTGGCGCTCCCCGGACGATTGTCCGATGGCCGACCACACCCTCGTGTACAACAGTCACTCGACATCCCTCTCTTTCATTCCAACATTCTAAATCCTACCTTTTCATCCTGAAAATCGCACGAGCTTTGAGTGTGCCCCCATTTCCCGTACGTGGGTTGGAAACGACTTATTTACGCAGGACATGTGGGCGAGTGCGTATTATCTCAAGAGGGGGTGAGGGGGAGGGTTGAGGGGAGGGGGAAGGGGGCAGGATCGATTGAGATAGCGAGGGCATATGAGGGCAGCAACAGGTGGCGATTTTCACGTTTCTTCTTTCCAATTATGAAGATGGGGGGAAATATCGATGCTGGAGGGAAAGTCGGGAAGTTGAATTGTCTAGAGCAGCTCTGGGAATATTTCAGGGATTATAGGGTGGTGAAGGAGCTAACGGGTTCGGTAAACGACTTGGGGAATTTTCCGAGTTCGAATGGAGTTGGCGGAGTTATTTACTTCGATTGTCTCGGAGATGCATTGCGGCGCGGTTCGGTTACTTTTGGAGAGGTTAATTACGGGCTCAGGGGGCTGCGGTGATGATAGGGGGATTTGTGGTGTCTTAGTGGGTCAGGAGTTCAGGGAGAGGGGTTTGGACACTGGTTCAGGTTTTGTGAGCGTGTAAATGCAGTCGTTTGGTTATTTTTGGGAGGCGAGTGAAGGAGGGTTCACTAACTTTTCAGAGTCTTTGGATTCAAGACTTGAATTTAAGGAGTGGGGTGAATTCAGGTTGCGACTTGAATGGAGGTCATTGATTTAAATTGTAATTTGAATTTAGGTTGAGACTTAAATTCAGGTGGTTATTTTTGGGAGGCGAGTGAATGAGAGTTCACTCACTTTTCAGAGTCTTTGAGTTCAAGACCTGAATCTAAGTCGCGGGTTAAATTCAGGTTGCAACTTGAATGGAGGTCACTAATTTAAATCGCGATTTGAATTGAAGTCACGACTTAAATTCAGGTCAGGAGTCAAATTTGGGGCGGAGTATGAAAGCAGGTAGTGACTTAAATTCAGGTCGTGTCACAAATTTATAGTGTGATTAGGGCATTATCGAGATTTAGGTCGCGAAATGAATTCAGACTATGATTCGAATTGATTCCTAGACCTGAATTCAAGTCGCGATTCGAATCGAGGTTGCAACTCAAATTAAAATCGCAAATTGAATTCAGGCTGGGACCTAATTTAGACCGCAATTTGAATTTTAGTCGAGGCTTAAAATCAGGTCATGGCTTAAATTCAGGTAACGAATTGAACTCCGGCCGCGACATAAATTTAGAATGTCACTTGAGTTTATTTCGCGATTCACATTCAGGTCATGACTCAAATTTAGATGGTGGCTTATCAGGTTGCGGTCAGAATTCAGGTCACGATTTTTTTCAGCTTGTGACGCAAATTTAAATCGCAACTTCAATTCAGGTTAAGACTCGAATCTAATTAGTGGCTTAAAATCAGGTCGCAATTTTGAATTTAAACACAGACTTAAATTGAAGTTGCGTCTTGAATTTTGGTTGTATCGCAAATTTATGTTGAGCTCTAATGCACGAGAAATCAACGGTTGTTTATGAAAAAATTTATATCTAAAAAATCGCCTTTTCGCCCTGGAAAATCATCGATCCTGCCACTCCGCCAAATTGTAAAGATCGTCTTTGACGAGAATCATATTCTTTATCCGATTATAATTTCACTACAATTTCATTTATATTCTTATCCTCATGCCATCTTCACTCGAGATCATCCAGTCATATAGAGTCACACAGTGATAATAATTTCCGACCTAGCTATCTCCCAAAACGCTAAAATATTAAAAGTCAATTAGTCCCCGGGGTATTTTCCACGTTCTCCCTAAATTAAAATGCATGAATTGGCTTGATTTCAGAGACAAAGTATTCACGGTATGATGGAGGAGGAGAATGTTGTCCGACCCCACCAGGAGATCGCCAGTCTCTCTCTGGCTGAGAAGAAATATCTCTTGGCAGTGGAACGGGGCGATGTCGCCTCAGTCAGACGGTAATTTACTTCGTATTTGACTTTCCACAGTTTCTCCTTAACGATGCTAAATTGTAACAGTTGAATACCTAGACAAATAAAAACAAATAATTGTAATATTCCAGGATGCTGCAGAAAGCCATGGAGGACAAGTCGATAAATATGAACTGCGTTGACCCGCTGGGTAGGTCTGCACTGCTCATGGCAATTGACAATGAGAATCTAGAGATGGTGGAACTTCTCATAAAGTACAAAGTCGATACCAAGGATGCACTGTTGCACGCTATATCCGAGGAGTTTGTGGAGGCTGTTGAGGTACTTCTTGAGCACGAGGAGACTCTTCACAGGGATGGCAAGCCCCACGTAAGCAGCCCGGCTGTGTCGTCCGCTTGTCATATGACAGTTCGTAGCTTGTTATCTGTTCACATTGATTTAAGGATTTTTGGGCATTACTGTAATTATTGTGATTATTTTATTTGATGAGGCCACTCTTTTAGGAGAACATGGAAATTTCATGGATTGTTTAATAGTAGTTTTCAGGAGAGCGACATTGAATTCGATTTTGGAAGAAAGAAATGGGGAAATTTCTTATTTCACGGAGAATTCGATGGAATTTTACAAATTACTTGAATTTCCCGGATTTCTGTCATTTTTTGAGGCAATAATTGAAGTCAAATTGTGAATTTCCAATTTCGAAATTCCTTATTTCCTCGGTAGAACTATAGCTTGATAAATGATTTCAAAGAATGTAATGGAAATTCAGCCAAAAATTTTCAACAAGGCAATTCAATTGATTTATTCAATCGTTAGAGATTTTTGATTTTTTTCTTGTTACTAATTAGTAATATTTTTCAGGAGAAGAACATTGAATTATATTTCTTGGAGCAAAAAAATTACATAATTTCAAATTTCACTGGAGATTCTACGGAATTTCAAATTTTTGAGCAGCAGAAAGACGAGAATGTCCCAATTTACTTGAATTTTCTCGATTTCTATGAATTCCCATAGAATAATTGAACTGAAATTGACAGTTTTCATTGACATTTTTACCAAAGAGTGACTTTTCAGTTAAACTATAAGTTGATAAAAATTTCCAAGAAATACACCGGAATTTCAACCAAAAATTTTTAACCGTGCAATTCCATTAATTAATTAATTAATTAATTCCATCGATCAAAGATCTATGCATTCTCATTCATATTTATGCATGAAATAGAGAGTCTGATGCATTAACGACACGATAAAACGAGATAAATCAGGAGGAAAAATTTTCCTTCAAGTAAAATCTAAATAAAATTGACTTATCCCGTTTCGCCACTGAGTTAAAAAACTATACGTTTTGGTGAGAAATTCAGTTCAGCTGTCGGTCAGCATCTGCGAGATGCGGACTTTAAATTCGGTTGTGGTCCTCTCCATTCATTTTAATCATATTCTCGTTCCCTGTAGTCCAAGTGAATCATGCAGGTTTCATTACGGAGAAAATATTTAGTTAAAATGTTAGGGTTTTCCGGTAGCTTGTTGCGGAGAGAATTGAGTAACGAAATTACGTATAGCGCTGTACGATATAGTGCCATAATTACGCTGTCTTGGTTCAGCCTGATATAGAGAATATGAATAGGCATCCGTAGGCCGGATATTCCTCTAGGATACGCATTTCCGGCTTGATTAAGAAATTCCTCTCCCTACAGATGAGAAGACACTAGAAATATGTCTCGGAATGTCTTAGAATTGGTTCCTGAAATTTGATATAGCCACATTCCGAAATTCCTCAGTCGCCTCCTGCCCAAACATCTTTAAAGACACTTACCATCCCCCACGCGGAGAGAAATTTTCTAGAAAAATTCTAGTACGAGTACTGGAAAAAATCACAATCCACCGGCTGTGAAAAATTCTAGTGTTGTTACGATAAAATTTCTTGGTATTTCTGGTTAAATTTCTGGGGATTTCTGTGAAATGTTCACAGAAATACGGGGAAAAATTCACGTTTTCCCCAATAAAATTTCTAGTGCCGGTACTGGATTTTTTTCCTGGCCGTCACTTTGCGCCTCTTTTCTCGTGCTAGCACTAGAATTTTTTTAAAAAATTTCTCTCCGTGCATAGAATCTCCTATAACTGCACACGAAAAACGACAAGGGAAAATCCAGCCCTGTTTACTCTATTTCATCCCTCTTTGACACTGTTTTACCCTCAAAAAAGGATAAAACAACTCTAGTCTAGGGATCAATTACACCAAAAATCCCCCATACATTTGAGGGGATTTATCCCCTAGGCGAAAACAAGATCAAAAAATAAAATGGGAATTAATTCCTTCTTATCGCCCGAAAAACGACGAGGAAAAATCAACCCTCGTTCACTTTATTTCACCCCCTAGGCGAAAAAAAAATTAAAAAGAATAAAACCGGAATTAATTCCTTCTTATCACACGAAAAACGTCGAGCGAAAATCAACCCTCGTTTAGTTTATTTCATATCTTTTTGGGAGTACTTTATTTTTTAAAAGGGATGAAATAAGCAATATGATGGAGAAAGCGGTGATATAACTCTATATTAATAGATCAATTACACGAAAAATCCTTCATAAATACGAGTTGTTTCATCCCCTAGGCAAACCCTTAAAAAAATAAAAACAGAGATCGATTTCTCATCATTTTCCATGTACAGCGCACTGTGCTTTTAGTGTTCAATGTGTAGTCATAGTTCCCTCACAATTCTGCACGCTAGACCTCTTTGTCTTCCGCTCCATCTCCACTCAAATCGTATTCATTGCATCAACCGAATTACCATTCACTTATCCAGATAAATGCATAAATTCAACAGTTGTAAATTGGAATGATGATGAAAGAAATACCACTTGACATGCCTGAAGCACCCTTTTATCCGTTTGAATATTTAAATTTAACATTCTTGAAAAAATAATCATGAATTCAGAGCTGGGAGGCTCTCGATCCAGACACAGCGACATTCACCCCCGACATCACGCCTTTAATACTCTCGGCCCATCGTGACAACTATGAAATCATAAAAATTCTTCTGGACCGAGGCTCGGTACTGCCGATGCCCCACGACGTGCGCTGTGGGTTAGTTGAAGATGAATAATATGGAGAGAGCAGTCGCAGAAAAGAAGTTTCTAGTTTTACGAATAAATTTGCATTGCCCTTAGGGTAAGAAACTGTTTGCTCAATTTCAGAGGAAAAATTGGAACTGAAAAACGAAAATAGGGAATTGCAAATGGATAAAAATTGAAAATCAATACTTTTTCGCCAATTTTAAAGGAATTATTTACATATTTCCAGAATTTTTGTTAAATTTCGGTTTATACTTGAAACTAGAAACATTTTTTTTGTTGAGCAGAGCTGGGCCAAATACTATTTCGAATATCCATTACTAGTTATTATCTTGGAGTTCTTGAACATCATAAATAAAATAGTATTTAAATAATTTGGATCAAAGAAATGCTATTTCAAATAACTCATCGAGTTTTCTTGCATTTTTTAAATTATATTATTCGAAATTTGTTTACGGAAACCGTATTTTTTTAGGCATAACATCGATTTCTGATAAAATTCTGAATATGAATAAATTTGTTACGATTCCGAATACATGATTTTCATGGTGGAACATTGATTGTTTATAAATCATTTCAGTAGCGAAGTCGTAAAACGGTGCAAGTCAATTTTGACTATTACTCAATTTTCGATGGATATCTCGGAATATAAGGGAGATATCAAAATTTTTGTTATAACCTTTTTTGCAGGGCCGATTGATTGCTACAATAAATATAATTACGAAAATTTCGCCATCTGCCTTAGATTGGGAAATATTCCTCAAAAACTCAACTGAAGGATAAGTCGACTTCAACCGTTTTACCACTTCATTGATTCACTGATTTATAGAAAATGCTCGTAATTTTCAAAGCTTGCAATTTTTAGATCATTTGATCAATCTTTCTCCAAAAGTGCGCTTTCTAATTTTTTCTCAGATCTTTAAAATATTTTCTACCGGTTCTACCGGTTAAATAACAAAATAGAAAAGCATTTCACTGGAGAACAAACAGCCAAAGTACTTGGATATCCTTAACTCTCGCGGAATAGTGCCCAGCTCTGATGTCAAGTCCCAAAATAAAACTCAATTAACCATCACAAAATAAAACAGATGCGACGAATGTGTAACATCGAGAATGGAGGATTCCCTGAGGCACTCGAGGAGTCGTATAAACGCCTACAGGGCGCTGGCCTCCCCCTCTCTCATAGCCCTGTCTTCCAAGGATCCAATTCTAACGGCTTTTGAGCTCTCCTGGGAGCTGCGTCGATTGTCCTTCCTCGAGCACGAATTCAAATGCGAATACCAGGTGTGGTTATTCAGAATGCACTCAACTGCGTTACACAAACGTAGGGAATCCATTTACATGGTGCTTTGTATGTGTCTCTCTGATCGCAGGAACTCAGACGACAGTGCCAGGACTTTGCCACAGCACTCCTGGATCACACTAGGAGCTCTTACGAGCTGGAAGTGCTACTAAATCATGATCCAACGGGACCAGCCTTCGAGCACGGCGAGAGAATGCATCTGAATCGGCTCAAATTGGCCATCAAGCTCAGACAGAAAAAAGTAATGATCGTGAATTGCTCTTTCATCCCCTCGATCTTGCCTCTATATTTTTTCCTCAGCGAGTGGTGGAAGTAATTGGGGGTCCTTTCATTTAATTGAGCCTTAAGTTCATTTGAGAGTGGGAGAGGTACATTTACTATTCTATTTGCAGTTTGTTGCACACCCAAATGTCCAGCAATTACTGGCCTCAATTTGGTACGAGGGACTCCCTGGCTTTCGTCGCAAGAACATGGTATTACAAGCCCTCGAGATTGTACGTATTGGAATTCTATTTCCATTTCTCAGTGTCGCGTATATCATTGCGCCGCACAGTGTCTTCGGTCAGACCATGAGAAAACCCTTTATCAAATTCATCTGTCACTCGGCGTCGTACTTCCTATTTCTCTGTAAGTTTAACTTTTCGGCGATTTTAATCAGTCAGTGTTCTATAAATTATGTCAAGAATTGCTGTTATACATTATTTTTTAAATTTCTCCGTAAAGTTTCAGGAAATTTTGCCGAACTCTAATTTCATTATTCAGTGAAGATTGAAGAAATTGACAATTGAAATGACGAATTTTAACGTTTTTTTCCCTCAAACTAAATTCAATGTCACTCTTTCGAATTTCATTGAGAGTAAATCCGTCAAGTGGTTCCATCACCGGACGCGTCCCGGAAATAGCGTTTGCAGTACTTCCGACGGTTTATTTTAGCTCCTCTAATGTTTTTAAATGACAAGCATTGCGGCTATCCTTGCACTCCCATGTCTGAAGTGAATATCTCCCAAAGCAATAATTTTTGACATAATGTTTGAAAACCCCTACAATACAAAGCATCATCCCCTGATATTTGTTTTGATACATCCAGTCATGCTGATTCTCGCCAGTCAAAGAATAGAATCGGTGATCGGTCTGTGGATGGGTCAGGACATTGATGAGCACGAGCCAGAGTCGAAAAGGGGTGCTGCACCGACACTAGTCGAATGGTATTGATCCACTACAAAGAATAATTGAAATGCTAAACCGACAATTTACGTAATTTATACAATACACGTAACTCAATGGCATTACTTTTCTCTCATTGCATAAAAGGTTCATCTTGGCATGGGTATCGGGGCTCATTTGGTCCGAGGTGAAGCAGCTCTGGGATGTGGGACTCGAGGAGTATGTCAATGACATGTGGAATGTCATTGATTTTGTTACAAATTCACTGTACGTCGCGACAGTTGCATTGAGAATAGTCGCTCATTTTCGAGTGCAGGAGGAGAATAAGGGACAATTGCCAGGATCAATCGTGGAACTGCAGAGGGAGGAGTGGGACACGTGGGATCCGATGCTCATATCCGAGGGTTTATTCTCAGCTGCCAACATCTTCAGGTAAATAAACTTTTTAAGTGGATAAGGCAGACGATGATTCGTGGCCTGTGGGGAAAATGGGGGTGATGGACCAGTGTAAAATGTAATAACGTTATAACAACCATTCACGGAAAAAAAATTCCTGAATTGAGTATAAAATATATTTGAATCAAGTATATTCTATACTAAATTGGGAAATGGGTATTTCAATTCGAAGATAATTCTTTTGTGTCAGGCCGGATTGTAGCGAGCCTTCTGATGTGTAATATAAGGGTCAGGCACTAAATGACAGAATATAAGGGTCAAAAAGTCGGTGTCCGGTAATGAGGGTTTACATATAAGTCATATATTATACTTCATCACCGTTTTTAGCTCTTATATGACCCGCGTTGCCTGACGCCCACTTTTTTTTACTTTTATATTCTGACCCTAATTTTTTGATCCTAATATTTCGATCCTCATTTTTTTTTTATCAATGACATTCTACATAATCATTCCAAATAATCATTCTTGAATGGAAACACCCATCCCCCATTCGAATAAAAAATATAATTGAATCAAGTATATTTTTTTCCGTATTCATCACCAACGTAATTGTTGATGTCTAGCTCACTGAAGCTTGTCTACATATTCTCGGTGAATCCCCACCTTGGGCCCCTCCAAGTATCCCTATCCAGAATGGTGATGGACATTATGAAATTTTTCTTCCTCTTCGTTCTCGTCTTATTTGCATTCTCCTGTGGTGAGTGGTACGTCGTTGGAAAAAATATTCTCCACAATGTGTCATGAATTTCTTTCAATGGTTTTTCGCCTCCTTTCATCAAGGTTTGAATCAACTCCTATGGTATTACGCTCACATGGAGAAGAAGAGATGTCCAACAGCAACAATATATCCCCACAACAATAACATCACCAACAGCGATACCAATGCCTGCATTGTCTGGAGGAGATTCGCCAAGTAAGTTTTCGATGAAAAAGCCGTTCGCTTGTTTGAGGAGAATGCGCCAGTCACTCATCAAGTTTTCTCTTGTAGTTTATTTGAAACAACGCAGACACTTTTCTGGGCAGTGTTTGGCCTCATTGATCTCGAGAGCTTCGAACTCGATGGCATCAAGGTATTCACGAGGTTCTGGGGTATGCTGATGTTCGGAACTTACTCTGTCATCAATATAGTGGTGCTCTTGAATCTCCTCATCGCTATGATGAATCACTCCTACCAGCTCATCTCCGTGAGTCTCATCTTTTACCCATTCTTCGTATTTTACGTTTTGTGTGCTTTTTCACGCTCGTCTTTCATCTTCATCCATCTCCCTAATGCGTCAATGCACCTTTTTACGGAGTTTTTTTTCTCTTCATCTTCTTGTGTCACACCTCGTGTTCTTGCGAATAGGAGCGTGCGGACGTCGAGTGGAAGTTTGCGAGGAGCAAACTGTGGATCAGTTACTTCGAGGAGGGGGGCACTGTGCCACCACCTTTCAATATTATTCCCACACCGAAGAGCTTGTGGTATATTGGGCAATGGATACATAAGAAATTTTGCGGGCACAGCAGAGCTGCTAAGAAGGAACATATGAGAACCATTCGGGTGAGTTATTTTTGTTGACATGTTCTCGTTTTTATTGCTGTCGTTTTGTTGATGTTGCGGCGAGGTTTTTGCACTCGGACAGTTAATTTTTACTTCAAGAATATTAAAGTCACCATTCCCGGGGAAATAACTATTCAAAATTTCCTTACAATTCCGTTTCTCCACGTGCAAATCGTTCTATTACGGATGTTCGGTGAAATATTTGTAATTCCTCGTCTCTTGTTAAACTTTTCGCATTTTCAGGCCAGTTCAAGTCCACCGTATTTTGATATTACAGGCTAAATTTTTTTTACGGTCTTTGAGTCCCTTTTCGGGTCCCATTTGGCACTCTATCCAACCGTACGTACACTGAGAAAAAAATTACTTTTGCCAAGTAAATTAACTTGCCACAAGTAAATGTATATAAATTTTTGCATTTGAAATGTGTGGATTTTTTTGTAGTTAGTAATTTTACTTGGCAAAAGTAATTTTTTTCTCAGTTTATGCGGCTGTGGATTCTGCACTGTATGTTAGAACTGAGGAGATTGTGCCCCTCGGAGTTACCCCCACTTTACCCATTCCCCACTCACATCCTTGTCCCCACCTCTGAAAACCAAAGACGCAATCTCCTCAGTCTGACCGTACCGCATTCGTACTCCTATAGAACACAGGAGTAGCGTGGGAAACCACAGGAAACCCATGTCGGTACAGACGGTTGCTCTATTAGCAAGCTTCCGTTGAAAAATTCGGCTCCACTTGGGATCGAACTCACAAGCTTTCGCACACTAGACTTGCGTCTAGCCCACTCGGCCACCGACGTTTTTTTTTACCAAACGTAAAACCAAATTTATCTTCAAAATACAAAACCAGAAAAATAATAAGTTACCGTATTCAAAATTTATATCAATTTGCGTCTAGCCCACTCGGCCACCGACGTTTTTTTTACCAAACGTAAAACCAAATTTATCTTCAAAATACAAAACCAGAAAAATAATAAGTTACCGTATTAAAAATTTATATCAATTTCAGTTAAAAACTCATAGTTCTAAAAACATTCAGAGTCAATACAATATCTAATGTTTATAACAATATTATATTCCGTTTTTGAAAGAGTGAACTGTTTAAATGAGTCTTATTAGAATAAATAAATACTTGACCAATTGGTTTGGCTCTCGCTTATGTTTAATGCGCCCCCAAAAATAGGTGAACAAAAAAGGGCTTCACGGCCACCCCGTGGAAAAGTATGTAAAAAATACATATAATTTAGGCCAATTTAATATATTTTTCGAATATATATAAAATGTATATGAAATATATATGAAACACATATAAATTTATATTTTATATAAAAGAAGAAATCAGAATAAGAAATAAGAATTTTCTCGTCGTATATGAAATATAAATTTATATGTTTCATATATATTTTATAAAACTTTATATATAAACCAGGCCAATTCCATATGTAAAATATGTAGTTATAATTATAATATATTATTATTTTTTTCCGTATGGGCACCGACGTCGGTGACAGACAAAATTGTATTGCTCAAAGGTTAAAAGAATTACACCGCGTTTGAGTTACATTCAACATACGTCTTTCGACATGAACAGTTGTTCTTCCGAACCTCGCGACAATATCGGGTATTCGACGAACTCCCCCTCGATACCTCTGAAATTAATCTCGTCGTTTTGATATCCGTTTAATGACAACTACTCAATCTCATTCCGGCGGAAATACCAAAAACAATATTATTCCCGAGCTCTGTTTCAATTCGACAAATTACACCGTACCCCTCCTACATTTGAATGCAGCTCATCAAGATGTATTGACTTTCAGCGAAAAGCCCAACAAGCCAGTGAGCGTGATCTGAGATACCAAGGCATAATGAGAAATCTAGTCCGACGATACGTGACTGTTGAGCAACGAAAGACCGAGGGTGAGGGTGTAACCGAGGATGACGTCAATGAGATAAAGCAGGACATCAGTGCTTTCAGATGTGAACTCATTGAGATATTGAACGCATCGGGAATGAAAACATCAACTAGCTCATCAACCGGTACCGGTGAGCCCCGAGGATTCCCTCCTGCTCTCTATCCATCAGTTTTCTCTCTTAGACCCATAGTCGTCTCTTAGATAACAAATTCTCCGGCTTTTACACCCAATTTTTTTTCCACACGCGGCTCTCGGAAAGGATGCTGAATAAATTTGAGGATTTTTCAGGCGCTGGGGGGAAGAAGAATCGACAGAAGGAGAGGAGATTGATGAAGGGGTTCAACATTGCGCCACAACCTGGGGGCAGTGGTAGTCTTCCACCGGTTGCTGAGTATATTGCGTCACTGCAGCAAGCCCAGCATGATCACAAGACTCGGGAGTTGACGAGTAGCACTCTCAGTGGAATATTCGCCCCTGTGACTGCTCTCAAGAAGAATCCACATCACATGAGCACTAATAGTGTTCCAGCTACTTGTAACAGGCAGAATAGGGCCTCCAGGAATGGCTCGAGGAAGAGGAGGTGGGGAACTCTGATCGAAGCTGCTAAGGTTCGGTCGAGATTAATAGGTGAGTTGGAATGGTTCGACAAAAAATCTTGCTCTCAACTACTAATGGGGTTAATAATCCTCCTCTGATATACCTTTTCTCCATTTTTCTTCGGCTCGTTCTTGTATTCCAGACGTGTATTCTCCTCATTGTTTTTCCATCTTCTCACTATGTTTTTTAAATCGAATGGTGGGTAAAAATAAAGTCAGAATAAGGAAGAGATTCTTTTAGCATCTCTTTTTTATACCTTTTTACTACATTTTTTCTGCTTTCAACGTCAAAATACACTAAGAGACAAAAAAGCTCTGCCGAAAAACGATATATGTGGACGTCCCCATGAAAAGGGACCACTTTGGCATTATTGGAGTTATGTATATTCCCATAATTTTGATCTGATTCTGAACATTTAGAGCCCAGAATGAACTTGATAGCGTAAAGAGTGACGACGCTAAAGAAGATCGAAAAAATAATTTAATATGGGTTTAAATGGGAGTTGGCAAGAGAAAAACGTGAATATCTCGGAAACTAGAATCGACAAAGTAGTCCCTTTTCATGTGGACGTCCAGATATATAGTTCAGCTGTTGGCAGAAAAAATATAATGCATTCTACGATAGTCATTTGATCTAATGTTTTCTCTCAGACAACAAAAAAGATTTTAAACAAAACACACAAAATCGTTACATTTCCGATCTTGCGGAAAGAACACGAAAGCGGTGCGATTTCTTGCCATGAAGGTTACATAAATTCCAAATCAATGAATAAGATTCCTCAACCTCTTTCCTCTCGGGTTTTTGAGAGTGAAAAGATTTTTTGTCGAACCAAAGAATGACGCAAAAGAGCACTGAGTGACTTTTAAATCCAGACACCTACGCATCCACAGGAAGATCACGCTCCGAGGACTCAATGTATCCCCCCGCCTCGGAAGACGGTGGTTTCCGATCCGAGGGGTCCTCTGATTCGAAATCCTCCTTGGATGTACCAACAGCTGGGGGCTCTCAGGAAAATCCCCCGAATCCCCAGCAGTGTGAGCGACCGAATAACGTGTTCACGCACAATCAAGTTTTCTCGTCGGCTCTAGCTGCACTGAGAATGAAGAGAAAAAAATTCTCGGGGTCTAGGGCGTCCACACCAGTGATGACTAGTGGAAATACGTCGGCTGTTGAGAGTATCTCGGCAATGCCAACTGCAAGCTCAGTGAGCTCGGTAAATCAATCTACCAACAAGAGCCAGTTGCAGAGGGCGAGCAGTGTTCCAGCGAGGAAGATGGATTTAATTTCAAATCAAATTATCTCGGTTAGGTGTCATGATGTCACTCAGAGTCAACAGCCGAGCCTGGATACCATGGAGATTACGAGTGTTAGTGAAAGACTTGGTGAGTGTTGATGAAAAATTAAATGATGAGTGACTTTGGAGGGAACTTCACGCTTTCAGCCCTTGAAAATTCTGTTTGTTGATGGAGGAATCGTCCCTTTTCTCACGTCTGAGAATGTCGAAGCGCTGTTGACCGCTTCTTCTTTTCGAGAAAGCTGCTCACGTCCACAGGGCTTACGTGCACATATTCAATAAAAATTACGCATTTTTTCCGCGATTTCGGAGTGAAATGTGGTTGTAGGAAATTTTACGGAACTGTCACGGATTTTTTCCAGATCGTTCCGTCATTTTTATCTGAATCTCATGTGAAAAATTACGATACCGTCACTTAAATTTTCTGAGTCGATTCCGTAATCGGTGAACGAATTGTGATTTCCGTAATTTTTAATTGAAGATTTCTTTCCGTGAGTCAAATGTGTTTACGGTGTCACTACACTAAAAATGAGAAAAAAAGTCTATATAAATTCATTTTGGGTCATACTTGTGCAGCGATATCGTGTTTGCATTTCGATCACTGTGAAAAAAGAGAATGTTAAATTTCAATGAAAATTCAATCGAGAATTCCCCAACTTGAATTTTCAACGGAAACGTGAATACTCGGTACCAAATTACGCGGAATATTCAATTAATACAAAATTCAATAATATATTTACCTGAATTTTCCTGATGTCTGTTAATTTTCGCAGAACAATTGAATTGAAGTTTACAGTTTCCATTGATTTTTGTGTAGCGAAATGGTAAAACGGTTTATGTCAATCTAAGGAAGATAACGAGATTTTCGTAACAACCTTTTCAAACCGAATTAAGGGCTTTAAGAAGGTAATCACCAAATTTCGCGATCTCCCGTAAATTCTAAGATATTCATTGAAAACTGGCCAATAGTCAAAATCTACTTGACCCATTTCACCCCTTCGCTACTGACTTCCGGAATTCCCCCAAATCTCAGTGGATCTATAATTCGATAAACATGTCCCAGAACTCTACCCGAAACTTCCGCCAAAAGCATTCAACACTGCAATTGCCGATGCAGGACTCAAAATTAGATTTTACCTAATTCAATAAATTCTCCTTCCATATTCCAAAGAGGCTGATGACATAAGGGTCGACGTGGAAGCCCTGAGTCCTTCCACAACCGACGAGAGCTTCCCAAGCCAGCCGACCACCTCGGGTGATACACTCCACACGCAGAGTCTCACAACGAGCATCAAGAGAAATGGCTCAGCAACACAATTGCAGAGACTCGCTGGTATCGATTCAATTCGCGATGTCACCTCCGGCTGGCTCTGAGGCCATAATCCGACATTTCAATTGACTCGTTGCTCGTTCTATCTCATTTTGATTGGCAACAGGGGATGAAAAATACTCCGAGGAAACTAGAAGCGCGCTGGCGCATTTCCACTGTTTCTCCGAGGCAATGAGGGGTTCATACCAATAATTTTTCTCTCGTTTTACAATGGCCATAAAAATACTGTCGTTTTCCTTCGACATATTGTATTTCCTCACATGCACAAAAACTCGTGGCCAATCGTCGAAATAAATCGAATGGGGGGCGGGGGGATTACGAGAGAAGGGGGACATTGGTGCCACTTGTATATGCGTTGACAACTGCCAGTTAATTCGAACTGTGTGACGCAGTCATTACCGTGGTTTTTAGAGGGCTATTGCCCTCTTCATGTCACTCCCACTCTGCGTTTTTCTATTCAAATCAAAGAATAAATTATTGAGGATTAACGCAGAATTCGAGTGGCTTGAGACTATTTTAATTGGAAATTATCACTATCGAATTTTATCGTAACGTTAATCAAACATTTCTTTAGTGAGTTTTACATAGAGGAAATAATGATTGATCAAAGACGTGGTGAGAAATTATTAACGAATGTTGGACAGGATTATAAATATAGCTGGTGGATGACCCGTTGTCGTCACGACCAAGTAGCACCAGCTGAATGCATTATTAATCTATCGTATTACCAATGAAAAAAAAAACTAGAATTAAAAAACGACATAGTAATTTTAATTCAGATGCGAACGCACAATGTGGAACAACATGAATTTGGCGCGTATATTTATCAGAGGGAAGAATGGAAGGAGTGGGAATTATAAGGATACCAAAGAATGGAATACCATCAGCCTTTTTATTGCATACTCAACCAAATAAAAAAATTAATGATTAAGGAGAGTAAGTATGTCGTGGCTCAAGTGTATTCATCACCTTGATTAATTAAGTAATTGGTTCGTAAGTTTTTTTTTTCTTTTTTCTTCGTAGAATTAAGTTGGTTTAATCACAGGGAGCTAATTGACATCTGGCACGTCTGGTGAGCTTTCTCGGACAGGGTTTGCCTCCATTTTCAGATTCCCTCTGCAAAAAAAAATTAACGAAATTAAGTTGACCCAAATATTTTTAGTGCTGATTGATGAAGGCAATGTTTCATCCTCGTGACCCTTGTTTTTAAACTTTTGTTGCTGAGAAATTTTCGAAAGGGAAAAGTTGTGAATATTTTTTATGGTACTGGGCGCTTCACTCGTCTACAGCGCGGTTTTTGGAATCGTAACCGCAAAACGTAAAATAGTTATCATCTATTGGGCGTGACGCGGAATTTTGCGAGCGCCAAACACTTTTCGTGGCTCAAGAAACACTTTTACGCACTTGTATCGAAATCCTATCGTAAAGAAGAGAAAGGAAATCGACCTCGATATATCTCGAAAATCTCGAATAAGTGTAAATGTAAGACTGAAATCGCAGCGCCACCATGTGAGGAGATAAGAAGACGGAAGATCTCGTATAGGGGAGCATGGGGCAAAATGAAACACGGGGCAAAATGAAACAGTGGGAAAATCTCGTCATCTAAAGGAGATAGGACATTTTTGAAAAGGACCTTTGTAGCCTTTTGTAGCTTGTAAAATTCTCTACAAAAAAGGTTTTCATGAAAATCGTCCTATCTCCCTTAGATCACAAGATTTTCTTGCTGTTTCATTTTGCCCCGTGTTTCATTTTGCCCCACCGTCCCCTACTTTTACATCATATGGTCCACAAAGTATTTCCTGACGAATGTGCGTTTATATCATTATAGTCACGTTATTTTCTGATGCATGTGATTATAATGATTATTATCATTATTTTCTGACGAATATGATTATAATTATATGAACTGACATTCGTCAGAAAATAATTTGTGGACTAATGATGAATTCTATCATTTTGTGGCCTAGGAGATTCACTACAGAAAAAGCTTCTGATATTTTCCTCTAAATCACGCGTTTAGCCCTTGAAAATTTGGCTTATTGTCCCAAATTTTTGAGCAGCTGAAAACGAGAATTTCCCGACTTACTTGAATTTGAATCAAAACATAACTATTCAGTACCAAATTAAAATTCAAGAATACATTTCGCAAAATCTTCTTGATATCTATTACCCTTCATAGAATAATTGAATTGGAATTGACAGTTTCCACTGATTTCTCCATAAAACTGTAAATTCGCAATTACGAAACTCCTCCGAATTTCCGCGGAATCATAATGTGATGAACATTTTCAGCGAAAAATTGTTCATGGTGTGCAATTGCGGGTAAGAATGACTCTCCCATCCTTCAGGAACTTATGAGTCGAATGAGTGTAAAATAATGAAATCGAGAAGATAACGACTGTTGAAATGCCTCACCTTAATCATCCTGAAGCTAGTGACCCGACCACTGCCACAACTAACAGAGCAGGGAGTCCAGGGTGACCATTCGGAAACCATACAATCCACAGAAGGAAGAGCTGGTTGACCGACTGGACCCTCCAGCCCGGAGGGTTGTTGCCCCGTCAACGCAGCCTTAACTACGCCACAAGTATTGCTGCACTCCTCGAAGGTCAGGAAGTTGTTTCTATTTCCCCTGCATCCTCCGTATCCGAAGGATATGCAGTCGAGTCGTTTTGGGTCGAAAGCCCATCGTTGGAAGTACCCCCTGCATGGCCCCACATCCGCCTCCTCCATGCAGACGACCTTCGCAGTCGCCATGTCGAAGGTGCAGTCTGCTTGGACGAGGCAGGTGCGTTGCTGGAGGAGCTCCACACGAGAGGAGCACTCTTCTTGTCTCGATGGCTCAACCATTAGGAGACGAGTTCGTATTTTCACTCCTTTTCCGCAGCTTGCGCTGCAGGGAGACCAATCAGACCAATCTGTGACCTAAAACATATTCATTATTGCTCAGAAAGAAAAACGACGCAAACTTCATTTCAATTTAGAATCTATGGATTGATCAATGGGAATCGGTTTTTGTTGTTGAAATTTTTGGGAAACTAATTCATAAAACGTCTCTTGCATCTCTGAAAGTGGGGGAAAATGAACACTTTGATTTTTTTCGAAATGTCAATGACTTGTTGAATTTTTACGACAATGGGCTATTTTTTATTTCAGGGAAAGTACAATTTCCCTTTGTCATGAGTCCAGACTGAAAGAAGTCAATTTTGCCCCACATTACCGAGACAATTCACCATTTAATAGGTTTACATGAAGTTCAGTGTTCCCTAATTTCCTATTGTTTATAATCATTCTCATTGCAAAAAGCAATACGACCGACGAGAATTTCCTTCAAATTATCAGTTGCTAAATTTTTATATTACAATAATATTGCTTGTTCAAAGTGAAAAAATCTATCATCATTTTCACTACATGACATTCAAATTCTCCTGTCTTTAACGTAAAAATTGTGAGATAATCTCATAATTCTAGCTACTAATTCTAATCAACTTCGTTCCACCTGTTGATTAGAATTGTTGTTGTTTGTTCCACCAACAACAACAGTCGTTGTGACGTCATTAGCGATTTCGAAGCGATTGAAATAACGAACTAACAATATTTCTAATGTTTATAAATGAAAACTTAATCATTTAAGACCGATTGGAAAATTCCTGATTCTTGAAAATCATGACATGAGTCGTTCTGTGATTGGTCCAGCATTCAAGCGCCCTTATGACGTCATTGGCGATTTCCAAGCGCTTGAAATCTTCAACTTCCCTCCGGGAAAAAAGTATATATGCGTACACTTATTTATGGGATATATGTTCTATACGTCACATATTTTTTTTAGCAAAAAATGCTGTATATAAAATACATGTTGAATATATACGTGCACATATATGTTCATGTAATTGATATATGTCTCATATATTTGTTTTGCGTGCGGGGTTCGACAATCAATTATTAATTAACGAGCAATATTTCTAACGTGTATAAATGAAAAATAGATCATTTAAGCTGATACTTGAGCTTTAAAAATTGAAAAGAAATTCATGCAAGCTCCGATTGAAGTACCTTGCACGATGGATCAATAACTTCTTCAGTTCCCGCCGCACAAGGTGGTCCCGTGCACTCGATTTTCTCCACTAAACTGACATGAGGACACTTCTTCCTCCCCATTTTATTATTGAATCTCCTGGTCCTCATCTTAATCCCACCTCCGCACGTCGACGAACACTCCGACCACTCGGTCCATCCACTGACCTCGCAAATCGCTGGATCCTGAAGTGCAACAGTCAGGTTGTCGTCGTCAACGTCCCCCTCGGCCCCTCTTCAATTACACAAAATTTAATAAGCTGAAAATGCTTCTTATTGAGTAATTGTTCGAAGACGCTTAGTTTGATTCACTCACGGGCACTCCGGTGCGCTAGCGACGCACATTTCCTTGGAGACCAGTTGTCTGTTGCATTGCAGCATTGACGCCTTCTCGGGCATTAAGTACGCGCGTGTTCTCATTCGTAGTCCCTTCCCACATGTGACTGAACAGGGTGACCAGGCAGTATAATCCGTCGTAGCACATTCAGCTGAATTTATTTAATGATACAATTACAATTCTGGGTAATCTGAACGGATCATTCGTCCCGTTTGCAAAGCTTATTAACAAGTCATCAAGGTATCATGTATTTAAAGGTATCCGCAATGATTGATGAATTAGTGAACAAGTGTGGTATAAATATATCTGAAATTGCTTTAGGACAACATGAAAAAGAAAGATTTCAATCTCACTGAGGACGAAAAACAAGAAATTAAAAATATCATGAAGTTCCCTGACATTTTCTTCCATAAAACCAATTTTAAAAAATTATGAAATCATCAATTATTATTTAACTTATGAAAAAATTCGATAGGGAAGCCTAGAGAAATCGCTGGAAAATTCTATAGGATTTCTATCGAACTTTCTATAATTTTTTGGCATTCTATCGAAAAATTTCGTAGATCATCTGCACATTTCTTTCAACAGGAACATTCAATGGAATTCTATATAAAATATCAATAGAATTCGACTTTTGTATACAACTTATTCTACTGAAATGTTCTTTTAATATAAATTCGTCGTTTCAGATTTTCTAAATTGGAAAATTCACGTCGAGGAATTCGTACAAAAAATGTCTGAATATAAACAATTTTATATAAAACTAAAATTCGTCAAACTTTCTATAAAAAAAGCGTGCTAAAACAGCGGAATTCTTCATTAGAATGGCCCAAATACTGACAGAATTGTGAATCTAAATTCATTGAATTATCTTCAGAATTCATTAGATATTTCTACCCAATTTTTTGCGCGTGATTTCACTTCTTACGTCGACTAGTGTCTTCCGTATTCTCCGCGACCTCAAATTGCGAGACTTGTTCCTGAAGTGTGGCCTCATCGCACCCCCTCTCGATGACCTTCTCCCTCGTGAGATAGAGCCTAGCCAGCGGAAGCATGGGTTTGCCGCTAGGATCATAGAAAGGTGACCGCGGATCCTCCGGATATAAAGTAGTGATGGGTTTCATTTTTTCCCTGGGTTTGGTCTCCGAATTGGGTGACATGTAGGTGATGCCATTGTCGGTCCCCGCATCCCAAGGATACAGGTCAATATTCATCCTCGATACCCAAGAGCAATCCTTCTGGCAAAGGTTCAGTTTACTGACCCCAACTACCCAATCAGGCGATGGTCCCAGCATCGAGGCAACCGACAGCAGTGGATGCTTACGATCCACCCTGTTAACACAAACGATCCCGTAAACTAAACGTTTGGCTTTGGTAATGAGTTTTGGTAACTACCTGAAACTAGTTGTGGTGTTAGTGTTGACATTGGGATACCAGAGCCCAGCGGCCTTGACCAGTGTTCTCAAGTGTTGTGATTTGGCGCGAAGTTCCGCCTCTAATCCCGACGCTGAGCCCCACTCGGCCAATTGTCTGAAGCCATCCGTGGAGATGTGATCCTTGCCCCAGAAGGAGAAACTGGGCTCGTGGGATGCACCGATTACGTCGCTAAAGTGCGTTAGCCAAGCGGAGAAGGGGAAATCCCGGGGATGTGTCGTATTTGACCAGATGCCCTCCATTATCAACTAGAGGGAATCATGAATTGAGGACAAGTGTGGGGGGATTTGATAAGGCTCGGCATGGGGACAATTGGCGTACGTGAATTTTCAACTGGGTATGACGACTTTCAGTGCTTTTTCACCCTGTCGGGGAAAAAGTCCCTGGCGAATAGTCAATTTTTCTCCGTTCGCTCGGGAAAATTTACTAAACGTGAGGGTAGTTTTTGTGGAACTGTAAAATTTGCACCGCATCCCGTCAAAAATTTTCCCAGTGAACGTAAATAAGTGAATGAATTGGAAGAATGATTTTTCATCACTTGTGCGTAAAGGGAAATTTTAGAATTCACTGAGAATTCAGTAGCAAATAAAACGGAATTGTTTATTAAAACGAAAATTGAATTCTTGGAAATTCAAGAATATCTCTACACTGTTAAAAATTTTCCACTGAAACTTTCGGTAAGAGTCTGGAAAATTTCTAACAAGTAACATTTCCACTGAAATTTCAAGGAATTTTGTTATTGAAAATTCATAATTCCATGGAAAAGTCAGTGGAAACTGTAAATTTCAGCTTAATTATTTCGGGAAAATGCAGTGAATGTTCATTTTCACTTGAAAATCCACGTAAATTTTGAAATCCTCTTCCATTTTCAGCAAAATTTGAAATTCCATTGACCTCTCCTCAAATCGAATTCAACTTCTCTTTCCCTAAAATCCAGCCAATTTCTTACCAAAGTACACGAATTTCCCTGATATCTATTAATCTCCTGGAACAAGTAAACTATAATTCACACTTTCCAAATCCCTGAGAATCAGCGACATATCCTGAAAATCACAACTTTCTTTTCCGTCAATTGTTCCACTTTCAAAAGAATATTTTGACCCTGAACCCCTCCATTCCCCTCAGTTTCCATTCGTTTCCCCAGAAACCAGTTTCACCGTGAAGTCTTCCCCGTAGAATTACCACCCTGACACGTCGACTCACCGAATATTTAGCCTCATCACAAGCGCAGCAAGCGTCCCGATCGTCCGAAGTCTCCGAAGTCGCCTCGCAGAAGGTCTTCACCAGGTTCCCATCCTCCGCATACCACGTCGACAGTGACTCCATGACCATAGCCGTGAACATAACACACCCGGACCCAGCGGCTGGAGCCCTCCACATAACTTGAACCTCCGCCTTCCCATTATCGCTTATTTCGGAAACCGTGTTGACGCAATCCTCATCAAATGTTGTTAAGCCGTTCGGGTAAAGTTGAAAGGAGCCCACTTTAGCCACTTGACTATTTGGCGAGTGCTGAGAGTCAACAGACAGTCGGAACCTCGTGAACTCCTGGTGTCGCTCGTGTGTCTGGTACCCTACACAGTTTCCCTTGAGTCTACCCCGTTTATTTCAGCTGAAGTACCTCAGATACTCACCTCTGAGACTAATTGCGTAGATCGTGTTGGGAATGTACTTCGTGTCCCTTCCACTCGTGAGGATTCTGTACCCGCCATCTCCGGGGGTTCTTCGGGCTGTCGTCAGCGCTGGGGTGGGCTGAAGAGGACAGATTCCCCTTGTTGAAGGAATTACAACGGCCGCGAGGACCAGCAACATCCACGCCGGCGACATCGCTGAGAACTGGCTTCAGACTGACTTTGAACTCACTGAGGCCTGGGCCGTTGCTCATTACAATCGCTTAATCAGGCGCATTCAGATGATAATGAGACCGGATGCGCGTGGGACACATCGTAAACCGGAATTGGAAACATTTTTAAACTAAATTAACTGTTGGGAATATTCACTCCATTCACGAAACATTTTGTCTAACGAGTGTTCCTTCAAAACCCATTGATCTTCGAATTTTAATAGAAACACATGAGAAAAACGGGCATTCGAAGTGGCGCAGGGTCACGGGAGTCATCGCTATCTCGGGGAACCATTGACCCCCCCGCGATAAGCAGAGAAGAGATATGAACAGTTTCCAGGCATCAGATTTTTTTTTTTAAGGCCTTCGAGTTCCTTTTTGGGTCCCATTCGGCACTCTAGCCAACGCTATGCGTGCGGCTGTGGATTGTACACTGTATCGCATTCATATTCCTACTCCCACGGAAAATTTACTCTTATTTATATATGTGAAAGGCCGTGACTATTCGCACCATTGCGTGAATCACTCCCGTACACTCCATACACTCCACGCATGCGTGAAGTTTCATACTTCTGTGTGTTTCACGCAGTTGTATTTTTATACACATGTGTGTTTCACGCAGTTGCATTTTGATACGCCTGTGTGTTTCACGCAGTCGTATTCAGATACTCCTGTGTATTTCACACTCCTGTGTGTATAAACACACAGGTGTATAAAACTTCAACTGCGTGAAACACACAGGTGTATAAAACTTCAACTGCGTGAAACACACAGGTGTATAAAACTTCAACTGCGTGAAACACACAGGTGTATAAAACTTCAACTGCGTGAAACACACAGGTGTATAAAACTTCAACTGCGTGAAATACACAGCAGTATGAAAATTCGGCTGCGTGAAACACACAAACTTCACGCATGCGAGGAGTGTATGGAGTGTACGGGAGTGATTCACGCAATGGTGCGAATAGTCACGGCCTATGTGAAATATATGGTTTTATATACTCCATAAAGGTGGAAAATTTCATATTAAAAAATATATCCATGATATATTCCATTAAATACATTTCCAAATTTCATGGATGATATATTTTATTTATAGATGAAGTATACTTTGAGTATATCTCATATCGTACAATCCATTTCCGAATTGAAGGGATAGTATATGACACTTATGTAGGAATTAGGCATTGAGCATATTTCAAGATATATAACAATTATAGCCAATTTATAGGAGTTTTACATTTAAATGTTTCGATAAAATTTATAGACTCTTTATAAAAACCATCTATTGAGCATACACACACACATACACGGTACCACAATGTAAATATATTTCACGAGATTGCGCCTGAATAATCTCTCTAGCTATGTATTATATAATTGAAAAACAGGGGACGTGTAGAGGGCCCACATAGAGACAGGGGGTTCTCAATATCACGGGGGATTTACGTGAAGGTTTTGTATATGAGAAAGTAAAACGAGTAGAATTCTGATGTCAATGGAACACTCGAAGGCGACAGAAATGCAAAAATAAAAAAATAAAATTTTCATCCGAGGCCAAAGTGCCAGATCTTTCCGAGGCCAAAGTGCCAGATTTTTTCCAGGGGGAAAGTCTACTTTCGGCAAAATCGAATTTTTTCGCCAAAAAGCGTAACGGAAATTTTCGACAAAAATTTCGAACAGTGAATCTCCCTCTCATTGTTCTCTTCTTCGCGCCCTGAAATCCCGCGTTCTTGCATCGCTGGATGGTACCGACATCTACCTAAAGATGCGCTTGCGCATGCATTTATCGACCGGGCGGCGCGCGACTCTCCCTCCACTTTAACAAGAAAATTGTGTCCCCTCAGTTGCATCTACCGTGTCGCAACAATCCGCGCTTTATCAGCGACGCATTTTTTTATTTCTCGAGTGCACCGACGCATTTTGTTCACAAACCGGCAATTATCCGGTAAAATGTTCGCGAGAAATTGAAACCATCATCGAACCGAAAACGCCGATGCGTTTACGCGAGGATCGGGCGGGTGATGACGACGAGATGCTGTAGCTGAGAGTTAATCAAAGAGTGAAGGGGATTAATTTCAAAGGTTGAAGGATCAGTGGAAAATGGCTAGTCTAGCCGGCAGCTCCGGGGGCTTTCCCCGGGCCCCGACGATGCTCGAACAGCTGCTAGAGGAGATCAATTTCCAGAGGACCAAGGAGATGAGGCAGCTGCTCAAGGACGGTACGTCAATCATCAGCGACTGTTTACAGGAATGAATTTTAATCTCTGGTATCAGAGACAGAAATAACGATGAAGTTATCGGGGAAGCGAAGCATGGGTTATTCAAATTGAAACGAGTTGAGTCACTCGGCTGTTTGTATCGATCACCTCTCGATACCTAGCTGGTGTGTGTGGCTCACTGCGTCGACGCAGGCACAACACCTGTGTGTTTTTATCGCTCTGTTTTTTTCTTCGATGAATTAATACTTTCAGATTCCGGATTTGTGATGCTGCAGGGGACAACCTACTGGACGGACCTGTTTGTCCGTCACTTTCTCTTTCAGGCTGAGCACACCATCGACGGCGACGATCTGCTCTTCTTTGTACGGAAAAAACACATTAAGACGTCGTCCCGATATGTACCGAAGTTCGAGACTGAGGTCGATGTCTTCAGGAAGGACAGCAAGAAGCTGCCGATTGGCGATCCTGATATAGACTGGGAGGAGACGGTTTATCTCAACCTCGTTGTGCACCAGTTCGATTACACCCTTACTTTGGCTATTTGCACGAGGACTAGTCCAAAGGAATTGCAAGTCAGTTATCTGTCTTGGTATTGTGAATAGTTACTTAACATATGGGCGTTGTATTTAATACGTGAAATACCTCTCCCCCTTTCATGCCGGCATTTTAGTTTCGTATTATGAGAACTGTCTTCTTTGGTACATTTTAGGTTTACTTATTATTTCAGCCTGTCCTCGTTTGGTTTCGCTATTTTATAGTACTAAGCGACGCTTATGCCACCCTGTAAGAGTAGCATACACTGTTAGAAATTTTTTGAAATTTAATTAACAGCTGCCGTTGAATTTTCGATGTTCTCAACTTGAATTCAAATTCAAACTAAATTGCTCATGGAATTCCTGATTTATCTTGGAAATTCAATAAAATCAAGTTTTTCGTGATGATTGATCATTGAATTTTCAAGCACAATTTGCATTTTCAAACCTACCGTGAGAATTAGGCAATACATTCAGTTGAATTTTCAACAGATTGAAAATTCAGAAGAAAAGTTGCCTGAATTTTCACGAACTTTAGTCATTTTCACTGTCGTATGAACCTAAGAAATCACATTTCATTGGATATTCAAGAAAATTGACTGATTTATTAATAACAGGATCTGTGGAAATTCCATGTAAATTATTCGTTGTTAAAAATTGAAAGATTTTTTACTCGAAATTTAAAGAGTAATTTTCAACGGTGTACCCACAGTTTTATTTGAATGAATATTCTTCTTCTTTAATACTTCTTCTGAGAAACCAAGAACTTTCTTCAAGAGATTTTACGCTTGCGCTGAAGACGATAATAATTTGTTTTTAATAACAAAAGTCCTCAAATCAAGTCTAGTTGCGTGAATTTATTCAATAGTTTTTCAGTCTCAAATTAATAATATTCTCATGGATAAACTGCTTGACTTGGTTTGATAAGTCGCTTTCTTGTTACGAACGAATTACTCTCGTCTTCCCAAAAAGTACGAAATCCCTTGACGAAAGTTTGTTTTTTTAAGGGCAAGACATGCTCTTGAAAATTTTCAAGCTACAGTTTTCGTCGATTGAAGTAAACACTCACTTCTTTTTTCTCAATTTGCTGTACCATCTGAGGGCAAAAACCAAACGAATATTTATCAAATATGATGTAAAACAAAGAAAACTTGTAACATCAAGGAAATAAATGAATTGAATTGAATATTTTTCAAATACGGAAAGTTTCAGAAAATTTCTTGTTTCTGTTTTAAAATGGTCATCTGTTGATTAATCATGGAGTAACTGGTTATCATGTCTTCAGGTACTCAGACGACACTCGCAGAAGGTGTACGCGAGTCCCAGTCGACGTAGAATGGACGCCAAAGGGGATCTCGAGGAGATGACTTATCCGCACATTTGCTTCATGGTTGATAACTTTGACGAAGTATTCTGTGATATTTTAGTTAGGGACGGGGAGATGGTGTGTGTTGAACTGGTAGCTTCGGATCGAGAGGGAGCGGTGCAAGGGGTCATCTTCCTCGGGTCCATTCGGTATGACGCGTTGAAGAAGGTCTACGATGCGAGGGTAAGTCCACATTAACTGACGTGAGTTGTTCCTTCACGTGATTCAATGCTTCTGTGCAGTCGAGCCTGAGCACCAAGATGGCTCAGAGAATGACTTTCGGACTCTTCTCCGGGGCGTCTTCTCAGCGAGTGGAATTCGTCCGCATGAAAGGACCCCAAGGTATCTCCCCCCATCCCCTTTTGCTCTTCAAAGTTTATTTATTTCAGACACAATTTTATATTTAATAGCGGACATGAATAACGTAGAAAAAAATCCTTAACGGGAGACCCTTCTGAATTTGAAAGGTTCTCCAACTGAAAAATGACATTCATGACAACTTTTTTGTCAGTGCACCCGTTTAAAAAAATGTCGACTGATCCACCGGTGTCCATTTAATTATGGCGGGTATATAAAAAACGCAACAAAACGATTTTTAGCTTTAAAAATTCATAGGGTAAAATTCAGCGGACCAATCATGTTGAAATTGCCGTGAAAATGTTCAAAATAGTCATACGCACAAAATTACGGATTCGAATTTCGATCGGATCATTCCTCAATTTTATGGACTCGAGAATCGAAAAAAAATCGCAAAATGTCAAAAATTCCAAATTTCGAAATCGGTCCCAAATCTCGTTCAGAAAAAATGATAATCCATCACATATGATGATGTCATAATGATGAAAGATAAAACACAAGGAGCCAAACTCCACTTCAGGGTTTTTAATCAATACCTTTGAATGCGGCGGAGATACCGAAATTTTTATAATAGCGATGGATTATCTTTTCTCTCCTCATGGATTCATGTTATTCACGTTCAACGTTACACGCTAACAGCAATTTATGTTTATCGCAAAATACGGTACATGTTAAAGTAGCCACATCAGTTCTTAAGTCACAATTGGCAATGAAAGACCACTGTACAGAGAAAAAAGTTGAGAGAAAAAACCATTAAAATCCCGTAAAAATTAAGTATCAACGCGCAAAAATTATGATTTGATCCCGATATTGGCTTGTATCTTACAAAAGTTGTAACTGAAGTTTATAAATGTCTAAACAAGTTAGACGAAAAGTAATGGGACTGATCTTTCAGGCGATACATCTTGAAATGCGCGATGTGCACGCTATATCGCGCAGTTTCTGATATTGGCCTGTATATTACTAAAGTTGTAATTGAAGCTTTTTTTTTTCAAAAGAAAAAATTCATTTTTCTCTTTACATTTTGCCGTATTGTTAACACAGAAATTCCGAGATAGTAGATTAGAATGCTTTATTTCCTTGATGCTACTGTTACAGTTTTACATCTACACAAGGCAACGAAAAATCTCTCCAATAACACTCCACTAAATTCTTTTCATATCAATAATATATAATAACTAATGATAATATCACAGTAGCATAATACAAAGTCCAAGGTAGTTCCAAGTATCATTTCGAGTCGAAATGACACTTAAAATTAAGTGAATACCTATTTCCACCATTTACAAACGATGTTTAGCGTGAGTAAAGGGCTCACCTGTCCCTCTCTCATTACTGTAATAAGAAAAAAAAATCCATTCACAATTTTAAAAAACCCTGGATACCCTAAACAGGCAAAGGCCACGCCGAGATGGCTGTGACGAAGCCAAAAGGTTCGGGCGCCGAAACCCCGACGTCGGAGCCCGGCTACTCCGTCACGGACGCCCTCTGGGACGCCGACTGGGACGACGCCGAAGAACTCTTCATGTATCGTCACCAGAGAAGACTGTCAGACCCAAGTTCCAATCTCAATAATTTCGTCCGCGGTGGCTGGCGGACGAAGCCAGATCAGTGTGCGTCGAAAGCGAGATCGGAGAACGAGGGTCTCGACTCCATGGCCAATGGGCTCAATGAAATCGAGGCTGGGGACGTGCGTGACGGTAATTACACATCACTCAATCCTGAATGACATTTTTATTGAGCACGATCCGAGGGGCAATGGGAGGAAGCGAACACACACTCTTACCCTTTGACGATTAATTTGATGATTTGTTTGATGATTAGTTTGGGATTTGATTTCAGTGATGAAGTGGTGAATGACAATAACTTGAGTTTGATTTTTCTCAACTCGAAGACTTGTTGAAATAATTTTTATGTCGTTTAACCACTTCAACGCTGATTTTCTATGCATGCGCATTGTCTTCCCCAGCTAGTATCAATCATTGAAAAGAGCTGCATGCTCCCAGTAATATTGAGATACCCAGGGGAGCGGAGAAGGTAGAAATGCGCACGAGTGACGACGAAACGAAAAAAAAGCCGGGGATGTTTTTTCCAAATAACTGGAAATAAACGTATAGTTGAATTCTTTCTTCTTCTCTCTCGATAGATCCTCATTCCCTCAGCAATATCCAAGCGACTAAAATTCCAAAAACCCTCACACACTCGCCAAATCTAACCAAAACAGTTAATCCACCCGGAACAGGGTGTCCGTCACAAGTGGCGACAAAAAAATTGCCAAATTTCCTTTGTAGCTAAAGATCAGGCGAGCAGCTGGGGCGGCCGGGTCGCGTCGTCATTGCGCCCTGGACGTAAAGATAATCGGAGGAGTCCACGCGTGACGAGACGCGGGCCCTCTAGAGAACGAAGTGACGAGAGGGACCGGATTGAGAGTAATTGTGACAATGAGAATTGTCCATCGCCGAGACGTTACGCCGGTGAGTCGGGGCATTGTTGTTTAGGTAACCCACGTGGGGGTTGACGAATAAAAAAAGACAGGGCATTAGCCCTCGATCACTCGCTCAATGAGCGCAGCGCCGACCACTTCCGTTTTTTTGTATTTCAGCGTGTTGCGCGACGCTTAAGGATGTTTAGCCAGTGTCGGTAAACTATCGGTAAATGTTTTTTTTTTATGGTCAAGGAAAATTCCGTAATTTATAAAACCAACTTTTCTAACGTGAAAAAAAATTAATCGCAATAGTCTCGGCAGAAATGGATACATCAATTTTTTCTTATACACGGGCTTTTATGAAATTTATATTCAAATTGATAATTCATCTACTAGAAGACTCTAAAAATATAAATAAAAATAGAAGTTAATTTGTAAAATCATACAGAATCCAATGGTTCATATTAGCCGCATGCATTTGGTGCATTTTATCCATTTCATTTCTGAATAATGAACAGGATTGATGGATTGAAATTTGTACCAAATTGAAGGAAATATCTTCATCTCTCAGTTTTAAAAAAATCAATTTTTTCAAGTACTTGCGATCTTGATAAAACATCCTTGAAAATTCTGAAAAAATTAGAGATCCTAGTTCAATCCTTTTATTAAGCGTTGGCGTTGTTCGTTTTTTCCTCGAGAAATTTATGTAGCTAAAAAACAAAAAGCCACCTTGAACGGACAGGAAAGCGGTGCCGCGCCGCCCGGTGCGCGTGAGTCTCTGTCTCTGCCGCTCGAGCGGCAGTGTTGCCACATTCACCGTCAAACTTGCAATGCGCGCGTATCAGTAACCGCCAAAGTGGCAACAGCGCGCTCGGTTAACCCAGCGGCGCTGCGCTCCCCCCGCGACGGATGAAGGCTGGCGAGCGCGAGTGATCGAGGGTTAACGTGGGGTGATGTAGGAACGCCGAAGCGTCGTCAGCGTCACAGGACGCATCACCATATCGAGGTGGGGAGTGAGTCCCTGCTGGTGACGACTGGTGACAATCTCACGGAGGACAACGTCATGCAGAAACTGGACACTGGAGCCATTCTGGTGAACGGAAAGGAGGAGCTGCCCCTGGGGTACGGGGAGAGTGAGGACAATGCCTTCGTCAATCAGAGATTACCGAATTACAAGGAGAACGGGGACACGCGAGGATTCTTGTCGTCGGACGGAAACCCAGAGGAGCCTCTTCGCCGAAGACACCGGGCGCGTCATCACAGGCCCCGTCGGTACTTCAGTGACGACGAACTCTTCGGAGTTGTCGGGAGGAAGAACGGACGCGTTGTTAATGACGCCGGGTCCAACGGAAGGACCGACACCGACGACGACAATCATCCGAGAATTTCGCCGAAGGACAAGAACGCTAATGCCAGGATTTCAAAACCTCTGGACAGCTGTCAGAGGCAAAGCGCAACTCTGCCAAGGAGGCGCAGAAGAAGGGCCCTGTCAGGCAGTGTCATCGGGAATCATCCGCTTCCGCCCCACAGGGTCACACCAGATGGCACTGCCATCTACTACTGGTGCGAGCTCCCGCGCCGCCCCGGCTCTCAGGGTAATTTCATAAAGCAGAACCCCTGTTAAATGACCTTGATTCATCATCAACTTGACCCATGGGCGATATCCTCACTTCCCCCGAGTCTGAGTGTCGTCACTCGTTCGATTTCTACTGATCTTCTACTATCTTCATTGCCATTTCATTCTTAATCTTGCAGATGATGCATTCTATTCTACAGCTTCCTCTACGTTGCTCACTATTATTCTTTTGATCATTACAGTCATGGTTTTGTTCATTCGGTCAGGCACTAATTGAGCACCATTCATTATCTTTATCTTATTCATGGTATCAAGCATTAATCATTAATTGTGGTTAACGTATTTTTCAATCGATTTCGTTTGGTTACGTGTTCTGTGCTGTTTTGGATTCATTATTCAGTTTTCTTTTGGTTTATTGGTGAATGGATGGAATGGTTGTTTCAAAATATCGATATGTGCGAGGTAACGGGCACTCTAGCGCGGGGGATACCGAGGTTACTGGCCTGGGTCAAATTATGAATTTGATGTGGATTTTTTTTTCGCGGGGGTCTGATGGAGATAATTAGTAATGAGGCCTTTGTTGGTTGAACAGAGCTGGATGACGGGGCTTATAATCCATTGTGGACGATGAGGGGGTTCACGCAGACGTTTCACTTCTGGAAGGAGACCAGGAGGGCACAATCAGTTCCTTTGAATGCTTTTTTAACGTACATCACTTTACCCTGGTGGAGTATAGCCAAAGGTCAGTTGATGCGATTTAGGGAGAAAAAATCATGACATTTCTGATTTCTATGAAAATTCCTTGAGCTTCCAAATTTTTAAGAGGCATTAAGACGAGAATTCGTCAATTCGTTTGAATTCTCAATGGAAATATGAATATTTGGTGACAAATTATGCTGAATTTTTAATTCATTGAAAGTTCAAGGATATGTTTACCACAAATTTTCCTGATTTCAATCGATTTTCGGGAAGAACCGCACAGAGAAAAAAGTTTCTTAAAATAAGAACCGTAGGGCGGATTTGTAATTAGTGACGATTCGTGACGATGGGAGGAGGCGATTGCCTAGGTTGTGACGTCACATCGTAATTTGAGGAGACAAGGATGTCAAAAAAATACAGGTGTAGCAAATTTTATTGCACAGGGAACAGTAATTTTTTCATCTATGGATGTGCAAAAAAAATTTATTGAATTACAATTTCACTTTACGATTTCCTTTCTTCTTTTAATCTTTCGATTTCCTAGGTAATTTCTACGCAACTTTTCTCTCCGCGCAGAAACCTTTTTCTCTGTGTGAACTGAAATTGCCTGTTCTCATTGATTTTTTCGTGAAATGCGGAATTTTCGATGCCGCAATTCCTTGAAATTTCAGTAGAATTAAAATGCCAAAAATTTTTTTCCATCGCTCTTTCCAGACATATTGGACCACCGAGAGGATCCCATTTTGACATTCTAATGATCGGCCATAATCACTGGATTTGAATTTTTTTTACTGGAGAAAAAGTACTGTCGGCCCAAACCAGGACCGAAGCGTTGACTAAACTTTTACCTTCTGCTCCCTCCCCAGACCACCAGGTCGAGAAAGACGTCAACTTGTACAAAGTACTATTCAACGCAACCGTTGTTCCATTATTTCATGTAAAAATTCGATCAATACACGTGATTTTGTTTGTATGCAAGAGTATTATCTTTGTACACCCTGCCACATCCACATCCGCTCCCCATCGATTATAAACACTTGATGAGGGAAATCCCACTTCAGTTGGATTTCAGTTGCCTCTTCGAACGAAATTAGCCGCGATGACGGGTGCAATTTCATTTGCGATCGGTTTTCTCAGTATTTTTGGATGCAACAGTGTCCGCGGGCAAGATTACTTCGAGTTCATGCGGAACGAGGGGGGCAGGGGACACAGCCGTAAGTAAATTGTCGATGTATTCAGAGAAGATTTTCTTTTCCTTAATTATCAATGAATGAAGGACTTGAGAGACGTATAGTGATGATTGATCAATGCAGGTCAGAGATCGCCGCCTGCTCCGAAGATAAACAATGTGACAGTTAGTCGCTCTTCGAAATTAGCGGTATTCGGTAATGCAGCGTATACTGACGATGATTTTTATGGTTCCAATGTTGGAAAGAGTCCACAAGTAGTTGGTGAGTTGGGTGAAGGGTGGGGCAAAATGGAGCTTCTTGAATCTTTCACATTTATGTTGAGAACGTGCACTGATAGACTGATTCATTTATTCCAAACGAGATTCGTTAACTAATCCGTAATTCGTATTAACGAATGGCGGAGTTAAAAATGACTAAATGAATATGAGTTAAGAGTTAACGAATGGTTCACTTCGAAGATGGGAATTGAGTGAAACAAGGCCCCTCAAATGCGCATTTGTTAACTATTAACGAATGAACGTTTGGTGAGATCGAATAGACGTTCGTCTTCGATCAAATGCATTCGTTAACAATAAGTAATCCTTTTTATCAGTGTGATTGTAGGGTCGGTGAAGGGTTTCAAATGCTTCGTTTTGGGAAATATTTATTCGGAAATTTATCACCAGTTATTAGGGATTTGCGAATGTTTTCCCCAATTTTGTTACATTTCTCTTCAAGTTCTATAAGAATAATAATCTTCAAGTTCTATTAAAATATTCTATTTGCTTTTTGCGGCATTTCTGTATAAGATTATGCACTATACTTGGTAATTTTTTAAGAGATATTTGACAGAATAAAAATCAATAGATTTTTGTCTTTCTTTATAAATTCCTGGACGTAAATTCTCTAAGTTGTTTCTGCTGTATTTTTAGTTGTTCCTCGTAATACAATCGTAGAAAACACAATTAGAAAATTCTTGCCTAAAAATTCTCAGAAAAAATCCCAGTAGAATAAGTTATATAAAAAATTAACGGCTATAGATATTTTTATATGAACAAATATCTATTGAAAAACGAATGAAGGAGTTGATGGAGAAGAGTCATATTTTGTAATAGAGCTGACGCAAACAACAAATATAATTTTTCAATGGAATTCAAATACAACTCCCGTAGAATTCTTAGAGAACTCCAATAGAAATTCAATAGAATTTCTTCAAGAAAGCGCGAAATTTTTCAATTAAATTTTTTTCACATTTTCACATTGTCAAACCGGAGATTGTGATAATAATGGTTATTAAAATCCAATTCGATCAACTATTGAAGTCAATTTTGTCTGAATTATAGCTTCAACTTCCCTTGACCTCTCTCTGAAGTGATTGAGAATTGAAGAAGGTCCGTCATGCCTCATTCTCTTTCTTTCATATCATACCTCTCGTTTCGTCTTCGGGAAAAGGTAGATCTTAGAGTGATGATACCACTTCTAATTTAAGAATGTAAGGGACGCACTAAGGACATCTATGCGATGGGATACAAGGCCATGTGCAATCCAAAACTCACTCTGGTGAAATTAAATCCTGATCCCGGCTACGAGTATAGTCCTAGCATTATTCTTCTCAAGCGATGCAAAGGTCCTTGCGGGCATTCCACCCAGTCTTGCATGCTGCTGGAATCAACTTTTAAGACAATATACGTTAAGAGGAAGGAGAAGGCCAATGGTTTGTATATGAAAGCCTCGAAGTGCCTGGAAATTGAGGTTGAAGAACACACAAAATGCAAGTGAGTTCAATTCGTGCATAAAAAAAATTATTACGCATTGCGGAATAGTATATTTTAGGGCGAGCGCCATGGGATTGGCCAAACTCGCGAATAAAAAAACCCATGGCACTAGTCGTGAACGATATCCTTCCACAGTAATTTTTTCTTTTACGAGTTGGGGGAAGGGCCAATACCAATCCCCGGACGGGGAAAAGTAAAGAGCAGTTCACAAAGAATAAAAAGTAGTATCAGAAACGTCACTAGTTTTCTGCCACATGTTACTAATTATTGGAAACACTGGACACTCGCTAGAATGACCCTAGTCATCTGTGATTTTTGTCATTGAAATTTGGAGATGAGTCCCTGAAACCAGCAAAATTACTGTGAAAATTAGCGATGAGTCTCTGAAAATCAGTGACATTATTCGGAGGATGCGTGAATGTCATTAGAAATTGATGACAAAATCACTGAATTTCAGAATTTTGCATTCACGAGTCCCTAATAATAGGAGCACGTCAATAAAACTTCGTAAAAAAAATGAGTTAAACCAACTTTGGGTTTAAGTCGATTAATTCTACTTTAGAAAAATCAAATTGAAAGTCAAATTGAACTTGCGTCAATAAAACCTTCCGGTCACCTTATCTTTTGTAATAATATGTGGACGTCCGCATGAAAAGGGACCACTTTGGCACTATTGGAGTTATGTATATTCCCATCATTTTGATCTGATTCGGAACATTTAGAGCCCAGAATGAACTTGATAGCGTAAAGAGTGACGACGCTAAAGAAGATCGAAAAAATAATTTAACATGGGTTTAAATGGGAGTTGGCAAGAGAAAAACGTGAATATCTCGGAAACTAGAATCGACAAAGTGGTCCCTTTTCATGCGGCCGTCCACATATGAGTAAACATGAACCCCTAATAATTAGAGATAAATTCCTGAAAATCAGTGACATGTACCTGAAAATCGAAAGCTTTTTTTTTACGTAAAAAAATAGTTTCTTACATTGCAAAGATTGATAAAAATTCAGCGCAATGGCAGTTTCCTTGAGTGCACAAGGAAAAAATTTCCATCCTCTCTGATAACAAAAAAGTTAAGCCCCTGCGGATAGAGGATGCGGTATAATTTATCATCCTTTTTCAACTCAAACCAATTTCCTTGAAAGGTGCGGATGCGCTTTGATGGCCAGCGATTGCAACAGGAGGCAGAAGTACTATCCAGAAGCCTGCGACTGCAAGTGTGAAAATCTGAACGACAAAGCGAAATGCGACAGTCAGGAGAACATGGACTGGGACCCACAGACTTGTCGATGCATCTGCAAGATGGAGGAGGAGATCTGCAATACTGGATTGCACTGGGTTCCCTCGATGTGCAAGTGCGTGCTTGATTTCACTCCCCAATCATTTGAAAATTACACCATGCGATTTTTACGTTTTTGATTGTTAACAGATGTGCTCAAGTTATGGAGAACTACATCGCATCTTTCCAGTGATCATTTTGGGGACCAGGAAGACGATTTTTTTTCCACATTATAATTGTATTGGAAGATGAAGGGGATTCGAGTTCAACGAAATAAAAATTGTAGATTGAATCCAAAATTCAAAAGATCGCTTTCCGTAAAGAATAGCAAAAGCGATCTTCTAATGATATTTCGCTACATTCGCAGGTGCGCTCGACTTCCGGGCATTGAGGGTCTGTACTAGTTGCAAAAATTATTTTCCTCATCCACAAACCCCAGAGTTGCACCGTAAACTGTCTCTACAAACGGGAATATGAGATAAAATCGAAACTCACGAGAACGAAACTGTCCACAAATTAAAATATGATCTCTCTCTTTATTTATAGTCAGCATGTGACAACAATTATGCATTTTGTTAATAGATAACATCTCCCTCGAAATCCGATCCTCCAACTTTCCCCGGGTAATCCCCGAAATTATGCCACGTATGATTCCACAACGCCGGGTTTCCGCGTGGATCAACCTTACGATTTCTCGGAGGCACAGCCGTTGAATTCAAATGAATCAACTCCCGCATCATTCCCTCCAGCATTTCTGGATGTCTATGTAACATAAATTCTCGGTTATAAAAAACGAAAATCACGGAGGAATTCGAATAAATATCACTTACAGCTTAACAAGGTTGTTGAATTCACATGGATCACGATGAATATCAAAGAGACAAGGGGCCTCCAGAGGTCGACACTCAGGTAGACTCGGATCTTTCTTTCCACACTGAATTTTCGAATTCTCACGGAGTTTAGTAATCGCATCGGGCGTTAATTGATGGCCGAGTGAAGTGACCGCACGACCTGCTAAGCTATCAATGACTTCATTGATTCTGTACGGCATGTCCCAGGCGGATGGTCCATACCAGCTGTCATAAGTCGCGTAGTCCGAGCCTACAGGATGTTCTTAATAAGTACCTCATGCGTTTCACTATCTCTCAACTATTTAAAACGAGAGATTGAGAGCATTTCGTCATCAAAATGTGTCCGTCAATCCTCTCGCCAATTACGGAAGACCAAATTATTAATGGAAATGATTGATTCGACGGTGGAAGTGGGATGTGAAGGCACTTTCTAATGAATGCCACGTGAGATGCTGGGGAAAAAATATTTTACCGTTAATCAGCTTCCAGTTGTCCACGGTTATTGCTCCATACTTTGCCAAAACATCGATGTTGTGGAGAATAACACGGGACGGTGGTGAGTCATTGGTATTCATAGACCGCCACATGTCTATGCCGTCTAGAGATGCTGGGATGGATGATTTATTGGCTCCAGCCAGGGTTAACAGTGTTGGAAGCCAATCAACAATGTGCATTTTTTTGGTGAATATTCTGCCGGGATTGGAGAGCTTCGGAGTCCACAATAGCGCTGATGAGCGAACACCTCCTGTTTTTTTTTCATTTTATGGGAAATTAATTGATAGGTTTATTGGGATACGTTCGCGGAACAACGATGACTGATTTGGTAATCATCTTATTAGGGAAATGAAACGATCTTAGGAGTTGGAACACACTGTTGCAAATTTTTGTTTGAATTTTCAGTGCCAAATTCCGGAAATTTTTATCGTGTACCAATTCCACTGACATTTCAGGAAATCTTGTCATTGAAAATTCAGAATTTCGGGGAAAAATCAAATAGAACTGTTAATTGCCGTTCCATTTTTCCCTAAAAATGAATAGACAACCAGAAAATTCTGGTAAATATTTTCTTGAATTTTCAGGACAGTGACACTGAATGCGATTTTAAGGGAAAAAAATCATAGAGTTTCATATTTTATTGAAAATTCAAATAAATTAAGGAATTCTTGTCTTTATGCCCCTTACAATTCTGAAATTTCACTGAATTGTCAGTGAAACCCGAAATTTCACGATTTTTTTCCCCTAAATCGCATTCATTTTCACTGTCCTGAAAATTGGTAGTCAACTGTCCATCAAATTTCATTTTTTTTTCCAACAGTGCAGAAGGGGAAGTGGAGGAGTGGAGAAATGATTGCAAGGGGGGAACAGAAATGATCGTAAGGGTCGAAGAGCAAAAGATAATGACGATCGAACGTAAGGATAAATAATAAAGGCAAAACTGTAACATGAACTGTGATCGAGTCAAATTAGATCTCACAAGCATTTCAATTGACGGTTTAAGGATATCCAAGTCCTTTGGCCTTTTTTTCTGCAGTAAAATGCTTTTGTACTTTTGTAGCCAAACATCAGAGCATGAAAAGCTCAAATGAAAGCTTTTTGGAGCTTTCATTTGAGCTCCATTTGACCCCAAGTTTCCAGACATTTTACAATAGTTTCATTATTTAAACTTTGCAGGTCGGATTTTGATGTAAAAAAATGTTCTCCATAACAAACAAAGAACTCGAAGTAACGGAAACGATCCGAAGAAACGAAATCACTTGTAAAAATATAGTGTAAAAATGTCTATTAGACAATCAAACCCCAAAACGAATTACTATTTTCAATTTCAATCGATGAAGTAAAAAAGAAACATAAAATGCAATAAAAGTCGTAAATAATCTGAGTGAGATTAACTGTTAGCTCTGGAGTATCGCCCTCTCGATACCCTTTCGTAGACTTTTTGCCACCAACCTTCCCAAGGAGTAGCTTTCACACCCCTGAGTGGATAATTCGATGCAGCATTTCCATTGAACCCCTCCGCAGGCCCTCCATTGTCCGACGAAAATACAATAACACTATCTTTCAACATCTCCTTCTTCATGAGCGCATCCACGACAGCTCCAACGGAGTCGTCGACTTTACTCAACATAGCCGCGAATTTCCGGCGTTTGTAGTGCGCTACGTCCGGAAATTTTTCAACAGCTTCGTCAGGCACTGGCAGCAGATCGTAGGAATTCGATGAGTGCGTTGCGCCGTGAGCAAGGTACAAGAACAACGGCTCCGTGGCATTGTGCCTCTGAATGACTTTCACCGCCTCGCGGGAGAATACGTCGGTGGAATATTTTCCGTGGAGATCCCAAGCTGTGTCGAGACCTCTTCGCATGTCTACTCCCCAATAAGGCTGGATTGATCACAGAGAAAACAAATGGGTAATTGCCTTCACGGAGAGAAATATTCAATAAAAATTACCAGAAAAACGACGTAAAAATTACGTTTCGAAACGTAATCTGGGAGCGAAGTAAAATTCAATAAAAAGTGTCAATCGTCACGTAAATTCTACGATCTGTTCCGTAAAAATTACTCATCCGTCCGACGCCTCACGGCTAGCCATGAGTCACCATGAGGGGGAGATTTTAACAACACGTTTCGTAATTTGTCCGGAACTTTTCGTAAAAATTCTTAAACATCCAAGAATTTTCATGTTCTGAGGCATAATAAGTCTTGAAGTTTCTGTTAGATTTTACAACTTCCAGAAAAATTACGTGACTTTTTCGTATTTTTTCGGTGACAGACCCGAAAATTTACTGAACGTTTCAGATTTATTCTCTTATATTCCTATAGAAATTCACTGAAAACGATTCTCGCTTGCGGATTACGTGAAATGTTCCGTAATTTTTCTTGAATATTTCTCTCCGTGTACGTCACAACGTAGTCAGTATATTTTCCCTGATAAATTAGCCTTTTGCTTCTGAATTGAATTTAGTGATATCACGACGAATTTTCAGTGACGCCACTAATTTTTAGGGGCACTAGATTAGTCCGCGCGCTCTGCGCGCGTACACTGACAGACCGGTTTAGTCGATCCAAACGAGACTTTTTAACTATTACCGTTCGTTAACTATTAACGAATCGCGGTAACAGTTAAGAAGCTTCGTTTGGTGCAACTGAATCGTTCCACCTTTTCTATCAGTGTATGTTCTACTCCATGTTCTACTAAATGTATATTAATTGTAGTGAATATTGTTATATTAGATTTCGCTGATAAATTAGCCTTTTGCTTCCGAATGGAATTTTTATGACGATTTATCACAAATCGAATTCAGTGATTTATTGAATTGAATTCAGTGACATCACGACGAATTGTCAGTGACGCCACTAATTTTTAGGGGCACTAGATTGGTCCGCGCGCTCTGCGCGTGTACACTGACAGGACGGTTTAGTCGAACCAAACGAGACTTTTTAACTATTACCGTTCGTTAACTATTAGCGAATCGCGGTAACAGTTAAAAAGCCTCGTTTGGTGCAACTGAATCGTTCCACCTTTTCTATCAGTGTATGTTCTACTCCATGTTCTACTAAATGTATATTAATTGTAGTGAATATTGTTATATTAGATTTCGCTGATAAATTAGCCTTTTGCTTCCGAATGGAATTTTTATGACGATTTATTACAAATCGAATTCAGTGATTTATTGAATTGAATTCAGTGACATCACGATGAATTGTCAGTGACGTCAGTAATTTTTAGGGGCACTAATTACAAACCAATTCTTCAGCAGTATGATCGAAATAATTATGATGTCCAGTCCAGAATCCAATGTGACTCTCAAACCCCCTGTACAACGGCGTATACTTCCTCTTGTAATGACCAAGATGCCACTTGCCGACAATGTGACGCCGATAACCCAAATCACTGAGATACTCAGGAAGTAGCTTCTCGGCGAGCGATAATCCCCATGGTTCTGCACCCTTCACGACCTTCGATTAGAGGAGACATAAAATTACAGTAATTGCTCTAATTAGTAGAACATCGGAGTGATTAGAGTTGAGTTGGTGCTCACGCCGTGCTGCATGCCAGTGTGTATTGGGTATTTTCCAGTCATGAGGGCACTTCTGCTTGGGGAACATAGTGGCGTTACATAGTGACGGTTCAGAATCAGTCCGGTGTAGGCTAGGGCGTCGAGGTTTGGGGTTCGAATGTCCCCGGCTCCGTGGAAACCTACGTCATTCCATCCCTAAAAATATCAGGGATGGCCGTCAAGCTTCCGATTCTTCAATATTAAAAGAATTCTCATTGATTTCTTGCTTACATTGATTAAAGTTTAAATGTACTATCGAAATTTACAATAAAAAACACTATCGAAATTTAAAAATAGTAAAATAATTGATAATCTAAATTTTCAATTGATGATGAATTAAAGATTTAACAAATGTGGAACTGTAAATTTTCTATTAAGTAAATAATACTAAATTTCTTGTAAGGGGTTTTCGATTATTCAAATAATCGTCAATCTTTCTAACTAAATTACTGATTAATAAATAATTTGGAATTTGAATATTTAAATTGATGATTACTTCCATCATTCAAATTTACGAGTGGCTACTTAATAATTTAACGGTAATTATAATTTATGAATATGGCTATCCCTGAAAAATATGGACAATCTATTTTTTTTTCGTATCGTGAATATAAATTTAATTCAATATTTTTTTTTGTCACTGTCTACTTTTCAGTTTCAGCCTCACTAATTTTCCGGAATCAATCACCACATTTCAGCGATAAAAATCACCGACGATTAGGGCTGAAAATCAAAAATTTTATTCTTTGTCTTATGAAGGGGTAGAGTGAGTTAATAAATTTCATTTCAAAATCAGTTTCTCTCAAATATCTTGGAATCCAACATAGTATATTGCGCACTCGTATCGAAATATACTATTGTAATTTGTCTAAAACATGTTTTAGTATTATGTTCACTCGATTCATTCGGCTTTAATATTGCATCTTATCATTGAAAAAAATTCAATTTTTCTATTGATTATACTGCGTATAAAGTTGCATTATCTATACTTACCAAGTCATCAGCGAGAATGTAGATAATATGCGGCGACTTCCCACAGACGGAATTCACCAAGTACAGTACAATGATGCCAAGCAGCATGACAATATCGAAAAATGCACGTCTGGCCACCGCGAGATAAACCGACAACTCGATTCGCACTGTCTGATGGACGCATCAGTTTAGTTGATATGTCCCCACTCCAGAGTTTTATTAACTCATTATCTTCAATTACTTTCACACAGACGAAGAATTGAGATGGGACACCGAAATGCAATGGTGAATACAATGTGAGACTTTATCCAATCAGATTAGTGTGTTAATCAATTTTGAGGGCAGTGTCTATTCGCACGCTCCACAGTAACTTTGACCGTTGATATACGGCACGTTTTCCCGTGGATTCAAGGTAATTTCTACCGTGGATATATGGGAGATCGTGAACCCTCAACTTTTACTTCTCAAATTAAATCTAGACAATTTTCGTTTTTCTATCCCTTAAAAAATTGTAATCTCATCAAATGTCCAGTGAAATCTGCAATTAATGATTTTTTCTCCTCAATCCCATGCCCATGAACTTTCATTTTTTTCCAACAGCGTCCGCAATAAAAGAAAGGCCTTACGATTTTCAGAACTCATTCCCCACTGATTTTTATGCTACATTTCATGTGCAGTTTCATTTGCCCCGACAAATAATTTTTGTTGCAGTACCGCACAATGTTACAGGCAATAATGTGAGACAGTTAGGCGAAGGCTGAGAGTGGCAGGCCACACACGAGGATGAAGCCACTGCCGGTACGCATCACCGACCTCAGTATCCCCAGGCATTGTGTCACGCATCTCAAATATTTTTCACCAATTTTTTTTATCAATCATTGGAGTTTCGACATTCTGCGCCAATTCAAGCTGACACTTGCGGCTTGCTCGCGATTCCGGCACTAGAATCGTAATTTTCCCCCGATCACCTCATTTCTCCGATTGATGAGATAAGCTAAATGCTAATAAAATTCCAATTTCACAATCCAACATGGAAAATAATCTAAATTCAACCATTTGAATGCGAGAACCGCCCAATTACGTATTTTGTCTAAATGTTTTCCAGAACTTTGAAAGTTCAATTGCCGTCATTTGCATAATCACCCGGTACCTGTGGAATTTTCATCGCCAACTGAAATGCGAGAATAGCGCGTTTTGCTCTGGAAGCACATGCTCATTTCGAAAAAAACATTCTCAATGTTTTTAACTTGAGTGAAATGTAGTTGCGGAATTTAACGAGTTTACAGATGAGGATCGCCAGGCAAGGTAATGGCATCTTTGAGTTTACATGTTGGCATACCTTGCCCGATATGATGCCAGTGGTGACCGGCAAAATTCTCGGCATTCGTGATCGTCAGTCGGTTTATAATCCAACTCAGAGTCCCACAATGATGACACGAACACCTATTTTCGGTGCTTTCGCGTCAAACACGGGGGAATGAGTTGGTTTCAATCATGTTCGGGGGCGGGCACAGGTGTCCATCTATTTTCGGGGTTGAGAATATAATCCAAGTGGGAATTTATTTCATATTGAATAAACGTAAGGCGTGAGTTAGGGGAAAATGATTGGTGCAACTGCATGGGGGATTTGAGGGGAGATCACTGCGAGAAATCGGGAAATTTTCTTCTGAAAAATTGAGGCAAAAGTGGAGGGGTTTTTTTTATTTGTCCATCGAACGCTACTGATTTTCATGAATAATTCGACTTAAATATTCACTAGAAATCTAAAAATTTACAAACAATGAATTTTAAAGGCTCTCAATTAGAAATTTCAATCGAAAATTTCCAGAAGTAAATGAATTATTTCTAAAAACCCCGCACTGAGAGAAAAATCTGAAGTTCGATTTACAATAAGAAAATAGTTGAGGCACTTTGGTGAACGATACGATTTTTTTTTTGTATGCGGCACGTAACATTATAGTAACTTCACAAGCGTAATTTTTGCAAATCAAAATGCAGTTAAACTAACCAAAGTTCAAAAGTAACCACGACAAATCTATCGTGAGCAGAACTATAAATTATTGTTGTAATTACTTCTCCGGCCATAGTTACCGTAACTCATGAAAAATTGTTGAGGATTTTTTGACTATAATTCGATGGTGATGGAATATAGTCAGAAGAATTATATTTTTCTCTCAGTGTGTAATTTTTCCAGAATACAATTTGTTCCATATGTTCAATGCTGGAGATTGAAGATTTTTCAAAATCCTAGATTCCGTGAATCATTTGAGCACATGGTGTTGTCTAAGGCTCGTAAAATATCCTCTGCAATGAGAATTTTTCATTATATTAAATCTCCCTTCAGAATTCCCTTTCGTAAACTAAAATTTTCCGTGATTTTCAAAACAAATTTTTATTCAATTTTTCCTTCGTATGTATCCTCCACATTCCATTGGAAATTCTCCACGAAATGTCTCCTAGTATTTTCCCATTGATTCCCATCCACATAGTAAACAAGAGGGATGAAGAACGAGGCCATCGTAAAAATGCCCACCGAAGCTTTACAACGGAAAAAATCTCACACGTGTGTGGTTTCATCTTGGGGTAATTGAAAACGCGGGTTGGCCAATACCAAAGTGTACAGTGAACGGAACCCACCACGAGATAGAGTCCATCCAAGGAAAGGGAAGAGAGAGAGAATAAAATAAAAAACGATTGAATAAGAGGAAAAAAAAGTGATCGACCGCCCGCGAAGAAGAGTGGGGCTTCCTATGTAACCGTTCACATTATATATTTCCCTCTCGTTTTTTTTGAAAAACCTCCGGTATGGAGCAAATAACCAACACGAACGATTGAGACGCTTCGTCGCTTCCACTCCTCTCTATCCCACCGCTCCCCGCTTCCCCTCGCCCCCTCTCGGTCTCCCTCTATCAATAATGCCTGTTTATATGTTGCCCTCCCACAAATGTTGAATTATCGCTACTTCGTATTATAATTACCGTGACGAGGAAGATATACTCACGGAACAAACGGGAATCGACGCGGCTCGTTAACGAACAAATTGAACCGTCAGAAGGTTATTTTTAACCCGGACTTTTGGTTTAAGAGGTATTAATTATATTAATTGGGGGGTTTGTCATTTTGGATCGTTTTTAATTGGCGGGGTTTCTATCCCTTTTGATAATTGATTATTTATCGCTTTGGTTGTTTGGTTCCTGTTAGAATTTTAGACATGTAAATTATTTATGAAAGATATCGTAATATTGAAAAAATGAAAATGTTTAACTATTTTATGAATCATCACAAATTCGGGGAGTTTCTAAGTTTTTTCAAAGGGAGCAGTGAAATGTGAAAATCGTAGGACATGGTGGATCGCTGTAGTCTATAATATAAGTTATGAGTCTTTTTTTTTAATTTATAGCATCTGAACCTGTTGGCTTATTCTGCTTAAAAAAAATTACATCATATTTTGCTAGAAAAAAAAAATTACATCGTATTCAGGTCAGTACAGCATCATATAGTACATTCTTCATTTTTAGATAATTTACTCGAGTCTTAAATACTTAGTCTGGAGGAGGCTAGAAAGGCGATTATAAGTCCTAATGTTTTTTTATTGACTTTAAAAAAAAAATTAATCTCGGAGAGTGGGAGGAAACCCTCTCTTTGTGAACCGAGTTATGAGTTTGGAACAGAGTCACAAATAGTTGAAATAGACACAAAAAAATCACTGAAGGATTTTCAAAAATGTTATTTTTTTGTGTACAAATTAATCCAGTAGCGAAGTGGTAAAACGATGTAAGTCAACTTAGCTCTTAACAGAGTTCTCAAAGAATATCTCCGGATCTAAGGGAGATAGCGAAATTTTTGTAATAACCTTTTTTGTAGAGAAAGTTGAGACCTATAAAAAAGGTTATTATAAAAATTTTGCTATTTGCCTTAGATTCCGAGATATTCATTGAAGACTGACCAATAGTCGAAATTGACTTGAATCGTTTTACCGCTTCACTGCTGAATTCGAAAATGGATTTTGAGAAATGTTGACTTTTTAGAATTATGTCGACTTATGGGATGATTATGCTACATATGCCCTTGAATGAAATCCATTGACAATTTTTAACATTTAGAATTATTCCAAATCATTTTACGTGAGAAAATTTAAAATTTGAAAAAATGAAAAATAATGGAGGTTATTCGTTGAAGATCACATGTAGCATAATCATCTCACAATTGAATATAATTGTAATATCTAGAGATGGACATGGACCAGCTGGTAATGACAGGCCTGAAGAAATACGCTCCTAAAAAAATAAATTCTTCTCCGAAGAAAATGATTCCTTCGCAAAAGTAATTTTTTTCCTCACTGCAGTATCCTACGACCTCACAAGATGTGGAATGCTCCATAAAGTCCCGTCTTTAGTGGAAAAAATGAGTTTAAAAATCCATTTTTTTCATTTCAGTAAAATATTTATTTATTCAAAAATTATCTAGAATGTTCACACGAATATTTGCACTTTCTCCTACATTTCAGTATCAAATTGCATCGAAATTCAGATTCCCACCTCGGATTATCAATGAATCTGGGGTTTAATCGATGAGAAATACCTTGGAATCGTACATAAAGTGTTTCCGTAAGATATTTCAAGAATTCTCATTCTCAAAATGTTGACAAGATCAAATTTCCCACCAGTGTGTTGCTTACGTTCTACAATTTCACTGAATGATCGGACATCTATGATATTACAAAATTCAATGAGAAGTTTTAACGATCGATGATGATACTTTTATTGCTCGTGAAGGCACGTTCCCGAGATGGTCCATAAACTCCGAGTTTTACGAGATAAAGATTGGGAACATGGGGGCCGCGAAGGTGATTCCAAGATGAATACGTAGTCGGTTTTTAGTAGTTCATAATTTTGAGTTATGGTTTATTGAAATCAGACGTGAATGCCCCGACACAATTCCTCATTAGCGTCAGGGTGAAACAGTCTGATGAGAATAATTACTTGTAATTGAAATAATTCAGTCCAAGGCGATAAATCCTCTTTCGAAATATTCGGATCCATTGTATCGTGCAATCTCATTCTAAATCGTTATTTCGCCACAGAAAATCAATTTGTCCACAATCAAATATTTTTGTTAATTATTATTGTTAAATTGATTTTTTA